AACAAATAAAAAAAAAAAAAAAATGAGAGAGAAAAAGAAGAAGATGAAGAACGCGGTGAGTAACCTAACCCCTTTTGTCAATTAGCACACATATTTGATATTACATACATAATACTAACAATTATAAGTAATATATAAATATATATGTACTGCAATTAGCACACATATTACATACATAATACTAACAATACTACGTAATATCTATATCTATATCGGTATCTATATCTATATCTATATTTATATATATACTACTTTAAAGATGAATGTTTTTGTAAAAATTCATAATGCTTAAAAAACCTTTCATTTGACATAAATTTAATGGTAAATTAGTAACACACTAATACACATCATATTTTATTTATATTTTTAATTAAAAAATGAACTACCTAAAAAACTCTTACTTTCACGTGTTTTTAATGGCAAATTGATATTATACTAATGTCATCATATATTATATCCTCCCTATGTAACTAAAAAAATTTAACTTTTCTCAATTCAACATAAGCAAATCAATGAAAATAATATATTTTTAAAAATTTTATGAACAAAAGTTGACTCGACAATATTAATAATGAATTTATGAATTATAAATATTTAATTAAAAAATTGTAATAAAATTAATAGGTAATTTTGAGATAAAATAATGAGTGGTTGTTGAAAAAAAAATATAGGAATTAAAAAGTTCATGTGTTTAATATATTTTTAATAAAAAAATTGTAAACACAATTAACCAATAATTACTACATAAAAAATTAATGTTTGAGAGGACTACAAAAAATTGCTATATTGCAATGAAATAAATAGATAAAGTTTTAAAAAATATTAAATATGAAAAAATATTAAATATGATAAGTAGTATGAAAAATAACTAAGACAGTGACACGTACTAATAAATATGAAACAAAGTAATAAAAATATTATAATTACTTGAACTAAATATAAACCTTCTAAAAATATACTTATCAATGTAAACGAGCCGAGTTGTTAAACGCTTATTACATTTTTGTCCTTACTAATTTTATTTGTAAATTTGAAGTGATAGACAATAGTTATTTGTACATTTATCCATGTAGGTTAGAAAAAAAAAATCTTTATTATTCTAATTTTAGATAACTTTTTATTTACTATATTAGTTTTTTAATATAATATATAATCATATTAAACATATAAAACCATAAATATTTTAATTATTTAATATTTAATATATAAGAAATGTAACTCAATTGGTAAATTAATTGGTAATCTTGATATAAAAGAATGAGTGATTTCTGAGAAAAAAAAAATATATAGGAACTAAAAAGTTCATATGTTTAATATATTTTAATAAAAAAAATGTAGACACAATTAACCAATAATTACTACATAAAAAATTAATGTTTGAGAGAACTACAAAAAATTGCTATATTACAATGAAAAATCTAACGGTAAGATATTCTACTAGAAATTCCAACGAATATATAATAAATATTGCTTTCATTGGAAAATTTCATTGGCCATTCTAACAAAGTTCAAATTAAATTACATAAACTTAAGTGGATTTAAAAATTTCAATTACCTTAATTTTCATTGAATTTTTTTTTTTTACCATATTTCAATCGTTGGAAAAATTGTCATTGTTATTGTGCAAACACTCAATGAAAGTTCCATTGGAAAGCTAATTGTGGTGATAGTTCCAAAATAATTTCATATTAGGCATTATTTAGTTAATAGAAAAAATATACCATCAAAATAACATGTCATTGCAATTTATAAATTATACGTTACATA